TCATTTGACCCCTTATGGTAAGATAGGTACATGTAAAATACCGGTACGTTTAGTATTGAAAGAACACTCGGGAGATAAGACGTTTCAGAATTTTTCAAACAATCGATTCAATTCAAAGGCACTTAAAAACGAAAGAGAAGTAAACTCGTGCATTGTACCTACACGAATTCCAATTATTTCGGAATAAATTATTACGGATTCTGGTCAAAAAATAGTTCAAAAAAAATATACATATACATGTGTGTGTGTGTGTGTTCAATGTGTTGGTTAAAGTTAAAGAGGACCTGAAGAGATACGATTCTAAAAAGCACGGTAATGCTCCGTTAGCGGTAATAAGATTGAAGTAATAAGTAACAGTTTTGGAGCGTGACCATTGTGAGCGTGTGTTGGTACATACGCGCGATGTGCTGCAGAACGTTCTACTAATCAGAGAGTTAGTGAACGAGCGATTGTTACGAAAATTTGTATCATGCTCCTCATTCTTACGCAAACGAAATTATCGAAATAGTTTGCTTGCAACGCTTACTTGATGTCATTAAAGTCAATATATTTACGCGATAATAGATGGAAAATAGAAAGATCGATTAAATACGAGGCCTGTGATTCAGAGGTTAAAAATCGACCTGCCATTGTGTCAAAGATCTTGCGCAACGTATTTTACTATCAAATTCTCTTTCAAATTAATATTAAAATTAATTATCTAAAAATGTAATTTTTTATAATTCATCTATCCTTAAATATACTACATTTTGATTTAAAGTATTATTTTATAAAATATATATAATTTTTCTTTATATATTTAAATAACAATGCATAAATTAAATTTAAGTATATTCTGTCGTGTATGATCAAATTAAATAACAAATTTCCCTAAAAAGATTAAAAGGCTGCCACATTATTTCATTTCAATGATTTAACATTTAATGATAAAAACTTTCTAATGTATTAAAATAGTAAGGTATCTAATTCTAGTTTATGATCTAATTTTTTTTATACTTTTATATTATAAATTATATTATATTTACTAATTAAAATTTCACTTAAAATTAATAATTTGAAAATAATTTATTTTAAAATAACATTAACAGAAGTTTATTAATCATTAACTTACAATTAAAGTTTAATCGCTATTGCTGGCACTTTATTTATCATTATTAATTTTAATTCCCATTTATCCCACTTAATTTTCATTAATTAATTTAGAATTCTTTATTAAATATCTGTCTAAAATTTATATATTTAATATCAATTAATAAAAAATATTAATTAATATTAATATATATATAATATATATAATATATATATAATTTATATATTTAATATCAATTAATTACATATAAAATATTAATTAATATTAATTATATATAAAATATTAATTTAATTAATAATTCAACTATAATTAAATTTTAATTTAATTTATTTACATTATTATTGTTTATAATTCATTTAAAATCAAAATTTAATATACAATTTACATTAAATATAATTATTATTTTTAACAATTTACAAAATAATATTAATTTTATTACAATATATATATATATATACATATAATAATATTAATTTTATTACTTACTATAATGTGCATGTGTGTGTGTGTGTGTTCTATGTTACATTTCACTGTGATCCTCATTGAAAAAAATAAATCTTCCGATTACTCTAAAGTCAATAACAAACATTCTGCGAATGAAAATTCTTAGAGAGAAATGTATGGAGATAAGCTCGGACGGCGAGCAGTATTCACTCGACGATCGAACGCCTCATCGATTCGCAAACCGTAAACCTGTTTGTTATTATTTGCAGTACTTTGTATGCAGTGGGTATTCGCGGAACACGTACGTTCAAAGTCGTGACTTCGTTGATCTCACACCACGCTGCTTTCGTTGTAAACACGCGTTTCCATCTCTAAAAACTTGAGAGCCACGTTCACAGGCTTGAGACGAGCGCGAGGAAAATAGAAAATTCGTTTCGCCAGTTGCAATTCAAGTAGACGTATATATACTTGTACGGCGAAGAACGACGGATTTTCAAGAAAGGCGTATCGCGCAATCGATTAATCGAAAAACGCCCGTCCGACATCGATTCCAAGAACGTTCGATTTCAAAAGATCGTGTGCGTTCTTCTAACTGAACCGATGTGAATCATCGAAATCTGCATACTCGCGACTGAATACTTTTCGAGAAAGAAATTTCTAAATAAAATAAAGAGATTTCTAAATAAATAGAAGGATTTACGTTACAGCAACGTCTTCGTTGCTTCTTTGTAACAATAGTCCCGAGTTTCAATCGAATTTTATCATCTTTACCTTCTTCTTTTCTAGTTGATCATGCTCTTCACAAAGAAACTTACTTCTCCAGCAATTTTAAACCGTCTCGGTAATTTCGTTACTTCACGTACACGTTTTTATCACGAAATCCTGAGAACCTCGCGAGCCATATCTCTCGAGCCATAAACTCTCAAGTGTTTGTAACATCGTGTTGAACTTGAAGTTTTTACAACCACGATACGCCAGGCCTTCTTCTCTTTCATTGTTCGCGTGTTATTATCGAGCAGTCTACTGTCAATCCCTGCAGTTCGCGCCAGAATGAGAAATAACCGATAATCGACTGCAATTATCGTATCATACATACATACGCTTTCGTAAGCAAATAAAAACTGCTTGAAAGTACTTTTGAAAATTACACGTACTTGATCCTTCAAATCCATGTTTTTCTATTCACTGGAATTGCTGGGAATAGTGGTGAATCCTTGTAGCTGTAATCACTTCGTTGATCGCGACGTGTTAAATTGACACGGCAGACGGATGAGGGCCAAAGGCGACCGCTAATCGCAAGAAAGAGACGAAATGAATACGTGTACTCATTTGTTACTGCACCGTGCATCCACGCTCGTCCATCCAATCGCGTGTGTTACGAGACTGGCAGAGCTACAAGCCGTTGTCCGACGCCTTAGAAATTCTTTAATGACTTTATGTCGCACACACACACGAACGAACGAACGTAATGATTCGAACTTTGTTCCTCGCCGCGATCGTGTCCTCTCTGCTTCGCGTCTTTTCACGATCGTACCCACCGGTCGTCGAAGGAAAATCGATCGTCCCGGATGTTACACACCTTCCAATTACAAACTTCATCTCGCATCCGTGTGTCTTCGAGGGATCTTCCTTCCCGAGGTAGGACTCTCTTTCTTCCCGAATTTCACTTTCCCACCGTAACAGCTTGTTTTTGTAAACGTAGGACTATGATTTCTTTTTTCTTTTTTTTTTTTTTTTTTTTTGTTGCGTCGTGTTTTTTTTGTAATTTTCACGCTGGTTTGCAAGTCCATGGCTCTTACGAATGCAACAAGGGAAAGAAAAGCTAATACTAAATATCGTAACACGAGTGTTAACAACTGTACTTTTGGACGAGATATTCTTACAGCGTATGTAAATATATGAAAATTCGCTGCCTCGTTACTGGCGAATTATCTTCTGTTATTCAGAAGATTAAAAACCCGAGAGAGAAGTCTCGGAAAGTCTCGGAAGCTATTTATATCGTATTTTTCATTGCGAGTCGAGCAAGCCGAGTGTGCGTCAATTGACTTTTTCTCCTTTTCTTCCATCTTGAGCAGTGACCGCGTTGCTTCAAAGTTGACAGATCGTACAAAGGAGGATAATAAGCACCGGGCCGATGACAATTACTATCAATCAATGCGTGTCCCCCTGTCTAAAGAGGCAAATACTCGACGACAATGAGTGTTAATAAAGTGTAAGCGAGGCCTCAACTCAAATAATGGATAAACACGTGGGGACGAGATTACAGTTTTTTCGGCTCCCGTACGACCATCGTCAAACAGCTACGATAAATAAACCAACGCACAGTACACGGGCAACAATGTTCGTCGTGTTAATTAAAATATACAGATAGCCAGTGTATACACATACACATACACACAGTTTTCTATTAATCTCGTTTCAATTGCATTTTATCGCGCAAGTCGAAAGGTTGATTACGGGTCTTACCTATTGCTATCACTTTCGCAATGTCAAATGTCTCGTCTCCGCTGGACGATTAAATTACTAACGACTCAGACACGGATATCGGTCGAATCGAGAATCTACTAATTCTTGGGAGAATTCTCTGATCTAACGCCAACCTGCTCCGGATATTCTCCGTGTCTTTTAATTATATCACGTTTCAACTCCGACTTCCTCTAGTCATGTTCTTTCCCACGAGGGGAAAACGACGTTTATCAAAAGTCGACATTTTCATATGCAGAAGAAGAGTCGGAAAGATATTCATGTTACAACAAGGACGTATAACATTTCTGGCAGGTCTCTCTCATTCGATCCTTTTCTCAAAATAAAGAAAAAAGAGAAAAAAAGAAAGTATACCATATTTCGCGTTACGACGTCAGTCTACCGACTAAATCACAAACAGTTCGCGAACGAGAAATACGTAAGTATTTTACGTAAGTATACGCAAGTATTCCCTTACCTTATGGATCCTCGTGAACATTGCTCGTTCTCGCAGTTCCCTGGTCCGAGAGTTCAGCTCCGCTGTCGGTTCGGTTCATGGAGGGTAGGCGACTCGAAAAATCGCGAGGACACCTGACATTCCGGGCAAGCACACAACAGCGCGCGCACAACAGACGCGTACTCGTCGATCATCCGATCGCAACTGCAGCCCTTCGGCGTGCCGGTGCCGGTGCCGGTTCTGTTGCCGCTGAGAAAGAGAGGGAGGGAAGCGACGGCGAGCGAGCGAGACGAACGGATGCAAAAAGAAGAGAAAAAAAGAAAAAAAAAAGAAAAAAAAAAGGAAAAAAGGTGAACAAGAAAGAGGTGTTATCGAGACGAACGAGAGCCTCCCGCTGTTCCTCCAGCCAGCCACGTTTCAAACTGACCGTCACTATTGTGTATCTCACGTATGTACGTACCGGCGTATACTAAACGCCACGCGAAACGCGTCTTTGACAAAGGCCATTACTCTCGAGCTACGAATTGAAAGGAGACTGAGGATCGTTCTCACGTGAGCTCTCCGAGCTACGAAGTGTGCCTTGCCCGAAAGATTACGTATATACGTCACCCTTTCTTTCGACTGTATTTTTCTTTCTTTTGTTTTTTTTTTTTTTTTTACTTCCGTAGCTTTTGCGGCTCGATTCCCCTTTTCCTTTGTCCGTCAATCACCGGGGAACACCACGTGCAAACCGCCAATGCGTACCGGCTCGGCAACCGTGCTCTGTAAATACACGCAAAAATACGTGCATGCGTGCGGGAGCAAAGTCGCGCCGCGCATGCGTTGCACACGCATCCGCTGCGTGAGTACATCGGCCAAACAACCCCCTCTCGGGGTGTAGGTGCTTGTGTCGGTGCTCTTCAACCCCTATGACTACCCCCTCCATTCACAGAGCAAATCCCCTCGACTACAAGGATACCTCCCGGTGAACCCCTTAATCAATACTCGCCGTTCTCTGCCGGCCAGGAACTACTATCCTTCGTGTCCTCCTCCCTGGACCAATTTCCCAGCTGCCTTTCTATCGCCTTCTCAATTCGGCAAAGAGGAATTCTATTTCTCCTCGCGTATGCGTACATGTTGTTCCATGCTCCATGTCTTCTTGAACTTTGACGCCTTTGAGAAATGAAATGTGTTAAATGGAAGAAATATAGAAGAAAGAATCAGAAGGTCGACTGATAACTGTGTATAATATGAAGTAAATAGAAGAGAATGAAATACTCGCAACAAAGGGGCATGGTAATTAGAATTAAAACGATGCACCGTGCGTAAAGAATGTTTTGAGGACGCGTTGAGTCCCCGAGGTATAACGTTACGACCCTGTGAATTATTTTATTAACCACCCAGTTGCTGGGATGTGAGGGATCTCTTTTCGTTCAGCAGTTGCACAATATATCGTAAAATATTATGACGTTTGCTCGGCGAAGTAAGCATACATTGGCAATGGTACTTCGGCATATGTTTTCCTTGAAATTTAATAACTTAATTTGTCATTGAGAAAATAGTTTCCCCTTTGTTATTGAAAAATACCAAAATTCCATTATTCGTGATTAACTGCTGTCAACTTTCAACTTTCTGATTAAAGTAAAGGGTGCCATAGTCCACGAATTATTATTAGCCCTTTTTATAGAGAGCGTCAAGTATACTTGGGGGTTGGAAAACGTGTCTACACTGCCGCGCCCAAGTATACTCAGGCGTTTAAAAAATCCTTCAGCAGCCTGAGGTTTCCAAACGGTTTAACCTGTTTATCGCATTATCGAAATCGAACCCTAGAATTAGACAGAGACGTAAACCATCAAAGTCCAAAATTAAGATTGTACTTAATTTAATTGAAAGGAGAAAAGATAATAATAATAATAATAATAATAATAATAATAATAACGAAATGTGAGAAATATTAATTAAATTTACGTCGTGTGTTTAAGACGATGAATACCAATTTCACAAGAGATATGGTTATCTCGAAAGTACGAGATAGCGTGCATTTACCAATTCCGTGTATGTCTCGTCTTTCTATCATGTGTATTCCAATTCATCGTGGTAATATCAGATAATATTATTCTGCAGGAAGCGTTTATTACCTGTAAATATTTGAAATCAGTTCCAATGTGAGATAATATATGTACAATACTGTGTGAAAGAAAAAACATTATACTATAACTATATACACTGGATCATAATGGACTCTAATGATCTGAGGATAAAGATAAGAATAAATGTAAAATGGAAACGATGATTTGTCGGTACCAGGAACCACCGTTGTCGTGTCTAAGAAGCCTGTCCTAAGCTCTACCATGCACCGATTATTACAATATATATTGATCATATTATTTGATGAAAAGTTATTTTAAACGTACGATTTTCAAAATCAATTTCCTTGCAATCTTGATAAATTAGTTTCATTTATTATTCCTTTCGGTGAAGTTAATATTGATACGATTCGATAAGCTTGAAGAAATTAGGATCATGCTAATTCGATCCTATTGTAATATTTATTTCTTGGTCTTCTTCCGAAAATACTTACACCTGAAAATATACATAACATAGTTACATGCTTCTGAGATTCATCCGCCACTCTATAGATAGCGCCACTGTAGGTTTAAAGTTTATGGTTTAAAGTTTTGAATTCACGAGATATAACAAGATAAAAATATTTTAAACATGTGATATATTTGAAATAATTGTTGAATTTTGTATCTTAGTGATCGGTTTGATATTTTTTTACAAAGGTTTCTGTTTTATTAAATGACTGATGATTTCATCCAACACATGGTCTGGTTTAAAACTAATTTCAAGGTTATATTTCTTACGAATATATTACGTTTTTTTCCTTGTTACCTATAAATTAGTTATTATTTACAACTTAATTACTTCAAGCTGAGCCAAGTGTACGGGCGATTTCATTATTAATCTAAAAAGTTTTGTAAAATAATATACAAGTGTAAAATAGAATAAAAATGGCATCGAATGAAATCGCCGAAAAGGTCAACTCCGAAAGCTATATCACGTAAATACTTCAAGATTTAATGAGATAGATACCTTTTTAATTAATACAATATGAGTGTTGCACTTTTATAGTGAACAAACCGACAAAAGGACAAATTATTTGGATTGGGACAACTATTTCATGGCTATGGCTTTTCTAAGCGCGAAACGTAGCAAAGATCCTATTACTCAAGTTGGTGCGTGTATAGTGAACGAAGAAAAGCAAATTGTAAGCGTTGGATATAATGGAATGCCTACAGGTTGCAGTGATGATGTATTCCCTTGGTCCAAAGATTCTGTCGATCCATTAGAAAGAAAAACTTTCTATGGTAAGTCGAAAACGTCTTGTTCATATTTGTGTTCATATTCATATCTTGTAATATAATGTAATGTTGTATTAAACTAATGATGATATCAAATTTGCAGTGTGTCATGCAGAAGTTAACGCCATTTTGAACCGGAATTGTTATAGTCTTAAAAACTGTACCATGTATGTTTCTCTTTTTCCATGCAATGAATGTGCCAAAATAATAATACAATCTGGAATAAAATCAATTAAATATGTATCAGATAAATATGCAGAGAAGAAGAAAACTCAAGCTGCAAAAAGAATGTTTAACGCTGCAGGTGTTACATACAGGTATTTAAATTACTCATTTTTATTAGACTTGTATAAATATTGGAATGTATTGCATGAAACCATAGAAATTCAATTGTGTTATTTAATATAATTTTTTTTTTGCCTTGAAATTATTGGATAAAATTCAATTTCTTTTGTTTAATAATTTTATAAATTTTTTTCAAGTAAATTTTCTCCAACATACGAAAAGTTAATAATTGATTTTACTGAAATCGATTCTGCTGAAAATAAGAAAATAAGCAACGAAGATGAAATAGAAATGAAACTAGAAAAATTTAGCATAGCATAAAAATTATGTAAGAATACAATAACAATATGTCTGTAATGAAAAACTTTCCAGTATATATATTCATGATTTATTTCAATTTTTAATGACATTTTGCAGATTGAATTTTTTTAACATAAACATGACTGGGTATTCATTTACTCGAGAACTGATTACCATTATTTACATGCAAAACTAAATTGAATACAGACAGAAAGAAAGAATACCCTTCTTATTTTAAATTTTTACAAGCCTATCTTTAACTTTAACATTAATCATACAATATTATGGAAAATAAATAAAACAATGTACAGAAAGCGAAAGAATTTAGCAATAATACAAAGACCTTATGCAATGTTATCAAGGTGTAATATTGTCGCAAACGATGTACTGTACAAGTGTAAACAGTGACACAACCAAATATGGCATAATAGAAATATGTAACAAGTATATATCATTTCTTCGTGATAGAATGATATTTTATCATTTTCATGATAAAATAATATTTTAATATCTTTTTACAAAATGACTGAAGGAAGGGCAATTGTTGATACGTGATACAATATTTTCATGTTGACTTGTTATTAATATAACAACAAACAGAAATTGAACATAGTTTTGATATAATGATAATGATACGTTTATGTACATATTATACATATCCATGTTTTTGTCTTTAAAATATTACTTTATTTGCGTGTAGTCACAGCTATAATGAAGAAAAGTTATATAAAGAAAGTAATTACACTTGATAATTGAATTCATCACATAGAAGAATATTTAATGCTGCAAAAATATATGGATATTTTGTATATAAACAAAAATATTAATATCCTTTAATAGCATAAATTTGAACTATTTTTACACAAATTATAAATTGTAGCATAATAATGCAGAAAGTATAATAATTGCTTGTTACAAATGGCAGTATATTACTTAAAATAGTAAATAATTATATTTAAATAATCATTAGCATTAATTAATTAATTTTTTTTATTTATTTTAAATTCTTTCAATTAGACAAATTATCTTAGAAGTTAATCATATAAACAGTTTTGTATGAAATCTATATGATGAATTCATTTACATGAGGAAATGGAAGAGGATATGGGCTGAGGTACCCATGTTTATCGTTTGCTCGTACAATTAAATGAAGGACTTAAAGGCAAATTTGAACTGAATTTTGAAAAATTGAAAATTAATGTGCAATTCTTAATCAACATTGTTTATTTCGAAAATTTGATAATTAGTTACGAGCGGAATAGAAATTTTTATAGTAAGGTAACAACCTCCGATAAAGATTGGAGCAACTAATATATTATTTTTTTTTTTATAATATTTTCTTTACAGTACACTAAAATTTTTTTGTATAATTATTATATTTTGGGAAAAATATATATATACATATATATACGTATGTATATTTTTTTCTCCTTTTCCTAATTATTACATTTTGACAAAATATACATATACATATATATATTTTTTTCTTTTTTCCAAAATGTACTAATTGCACAAAAGTTTAAGTGTACTATAAAAAATGTATCACAAAAAAAAAAAATAGTATTAAAGGATAACAACACTTCGGTAGATGCATGGTAGAAAAGTTGAGTGCACCGTGAATGATGTATGATAAT